GCCCCCGGGACCAACTCACTCCTTTAATAAAGTCGTAATGAACGTTTATGAAAAAATTCAGCCAAAAAAATTGGGACCACGTATCATAAAAAAATTCGTAGACTATAACACATAAAAATTGGTAAATTTTGTTTTTACCATATGGGGATCTTTTAACTAGAAAATGCATCTGTTTGCCCCACGGGATAAACTTACTTTATTAATAAGGTCATAACGAACATCCATGAATAATTTTGGCCAACAGGATCACGTATCATAAAAATCCTTAGACTAAGCACACGGAAATTGATAAATTTTGTTTTTCCGCATTGGGCTCGTTTGAACTTGAAAATGTGTTTGTTTTATCTTTGGGAAAAACTAATGCCATTAATAAGGTCGTAATGGATGTCCATAATTTTTTTTTGCCAAAAACAAGCCGGGATCATGTATCACCAAAAATCCATGAACTATAGCACACAAAAATCAGTAAATTTGGTTTTTCCGCATTGGGGCTGGTTTGAATTTGAAAATGCGTCTGTTTGTCCCTCGGAACCAACTCACGCCATTAATAAGGTCGTAATGGACATCCATGAAAAATTTCAGCCAAAAACAGGTCGGGATCATATATCACCAAAAGTCCATGGACTATAGCACATGAAAATCAGTAAACTTAGTTTTTTCCGCATTGGGGCTCGTTTGAACTTGAAATGTGTATGTATTCCCCTCGGGACCAACTCACGCCATTAATAAGGTCGTAATGGATGACCGTGAATTTTTTTGGCAAAAACAAGTCGGGACTACGTATCACCAAAAATCCATGGACTTTAGCACACAAATATCAGAAATATTGGTTTTTTCCGCATTGGGGGTTGTTTGAACTTTAAAATGCATATGTTTACCCATCGGAACCTACTCACGCCACTAATAAGTTCGTAATGGACATCCATGAAAATTTTTGGCCAAAAACAAGTCGGGATCACGTATCACCAAAAATCCATGGACTATAGACCCGAAAATTGGTAAATTTGGGTTTTCCCGCATTGAGACTCGTTTGAACTTGAAAATGTGTCTGTTTTCCCATCAGGACAGACTCACGATATTAATAAGATCGTAACAGATGTCTATGAAAAATTTCGGCCAAAAATAAGTCAGGATCACGCATCACCAAAAATCCATGGACTATAGTACATGAAAATCAGTAAATTTAGTTTTTATTATATAGGGCTCGTTTTAACTTGAAAATGCGTCTGTTTGCCCCACGAGACAAACTCACGCCATTAATAAGGTCGTAACGAACGTCCATGAATAATTTCGGCCAAAAACGTCGAGATAACCTATCATAAAAAATCTATGGACTATAATACACAAAAATTGATAAATTTGGTTTTTCCCTCATTGGGGCTCGTTTGATCTTGAAAATGCGTCTGTTTCCCCTTGGGACAAACTCACGCCATTAATAAGGTCGTAACGGACGTCCATGAAAAATTTCGGCCAAAAACATATCGAGATCACGTACCACTAAAATTCATGGACTTATAGCACACAAAAATTGGCAAATTTAGTTTTTTCCGCATTAGGGCTCGTTTGAACTTGAAAATGTTTGTTTGCCTCTCAAGACCAACTCACACCATTAATAAGGTCGTAACAGACGTTCGTGAATTTTTTTGGCATAGCAAGTTGGGATCACGTATCACAAAAAATCCATGGACTATAGTACACGAAAATTGGTAAATTTGGTTTTTCCCGCATTGAGGCCTATTTGAACTTGAAAATGCGTCAGTTTTCTCTTCGGGACCAATTCAAGCCATTAATAAGGTCGTTAGGGACGTCCATAAAAAAATTGGCAAAAAATAAGTGGGGATCATATATCACCAAAAATCCATGGATTATAGCACATGCAAATCGGTAAATTTGGTTTTTCCCCTATTGGGGATCGTTTGAACTTGAGAATGTGTCTCTTTGCCATTCAAAACCAACTCACGTCATTAATAAGGTCGTAACTAACGTCCATGAAAAATTTCATCCAAAAACAAGTCTAGATCACGTATCACCAAAAATCAATGGACTATAGCACACAAAAATTGGTAAATTATTTTTACTGCATTGGAGCTCGTTTGAACTTGAAAATACGTCTGTTTGCACATCGGGGTAAACTCATGCCATTATAAGGTAGTAACAGACGTCCATGAAAAATTTCGACTAAAAACAAGTCAGTATCACGTATCACAAAAAATCCATGGACTATAGCACACGAAAATCTGTAAATTTGATTTTTTTTTCCCGTATTAAGGCTCGTTTGAACTTGAAAATTCTCTGTTTTCCCCTCGGTACCAACTCATGCCATTAATAAGGTCGTAACGGATGTCCATGAAAAATTTCGGCCAAAAACAAGTCGGAAAATATAAAAATTTCATTTCAAAAAATTTAAAGATTACATGCATAAATTACCGGTCAAACATAAACTGTTTGACTCTCGTAAAACGAAAAGTGCCACATAAATTGGATAAATGGAGTAATTTATGAAAATGACTTATATGATACACGATATTTCAATATTATTTTAAATATATCGAATATCAAATATAAAAAATATTTAAAATGTATACCATTTATCTTATAATTCCCGAATCCCCATATCAAATTTTTTAATTCAATATGATAATTTGATATCTATTATATATATCATGGGCAATAAATAAAATATATTAATAACAAACTATTATCGTACAAGAAAGGAGAAAATCATTGTCATCGGTTTCAAAAACAGAAAATCAAACATTATTATGAATTCTGTTTTTTTGTTTTTGTTTTTGTTTTTTTGTGTTTTGTTTCAGAATCTATCTAAATATTCTTCACTTACAATAATTTAAACATATAACACCACTTGTTAAAATTATCCATTTTAGTCATATTTTTGGGTATCTTGTGTATAATTCTATAAGCAAATCAGTAAGATGATTACAAGAAGGAATTATTAATAAACATTCTCTTGAACATCACCTAATTGTATTTTAATAAACATTCTCTTGAACATCACTTAATTGTATTTTAATAAACATTCTCTTGAACATCACCTAATTTTATTTTATTGCAGAAAGAGTATTACATGTACATTATTTCTTAGTGTAGGACTTATTTCTAAAAAAAAACAAATGTTAGTTATTGGAATAATTTATGTTTATAGTAATAACTTATTTTGTTCAGATTTTTAAAAAAAAATGTTGTTATACTCTTATTAATTCTTTAATAAATGCATTACTTTTGAAGAATTCTACACGTATTCATCGATATATTTAAAATGTCGAGGAATATAACTAATTATTTAAGCTCTGATCTACTACCTCCATAACTTATTGAAGCAATGGGTTATAAGCTATATATATATATATATATATATATATATATTATGTTATTCACTTATATGATGACAGTGTCAAATTCATTTAACAACTTTTATATTTTATGTTAAAATCATGTTATGTTATTCATACTCTAATCGATAGACACCCATGCTTAGTAAATGTTAAGTTATCCCACATTAATCAACAAATATAAATTTGTATCATTAATCTAATCTAAACAAAGAAATGTAAAATATTTACTAACTTATGTGTTGTGATGTTTTTTTTTTTGGTACGTCATAATGTTTTTCTGCTTTAAACTATATAATATATCTCCTTTTTTTTTTCTTGGAAATCTCAAGAATATTCATATGTCATGTTCTTGCTTACTTTACTTTCTGTCATCATCTTTGACGAAAAAAAATGTCTTTCCATAATATTCTTTTGCCAGACATTATATTATACTGTACTATTTAATAACGATCTACGTTTCTTCAGGACCAAAGCAAACACTACACGTGAAATTAGGATATAAATAATGATAGAATTTGACCTTTTTTTTTATTAAATTATATTAAAGAGAATTATACGAAATCAAAGTGGAAGTATATATATATATGATAATATGAACATAGTAATAGCCATATAGCTTCTTTTTTTAACCATATCAGTGATTATAAATTACAGTAAATCTCATTAAATTAATATTAGTGGGACTATAAAATATTGTTATTTTGAAAGGTATTATTAAATCGATAAATTAATATTTATTAATTTAAAGAGTGTTTTGAGATCCAATGAAAGTTAATTTTGATTACATCAAAATCATTGTATCTTACTAACTTATGTATCATATTTATTGAATTCACATAAAAATAAATTTATTATACATAAAGTACAATGAATACATCAAAATCATTGTATCTTACTAAATTATGTATCATATTTATTGAATTCACACAAGAATTCATTCATTATACATAAAGTACGATGTATATGATTCATTGTAATATATTTTTTTGAAAATGATATAATACATTTGGAACCAATTACCCGTAGGGAAGCACTTATCGCATCTAGAACTCTTCACAATTTTATGGTGCGTTTCGAAAAGCTAGCACCGGAACTTTTGGATGCAAGAAGAAAAGTTAGAGGTGAGCTTCAACTAGATTTAAATTTTAACAAAAAAAATAAACACACAATAGAATCATTTCACTAAAAGGCCTTAAATATATTTGTACTTTTAAAGAATTATCAATTTATAATATTAATGGGACATATATTTATTATAGGATCTTCTGAAAATATTTTCTCTTATATCTTATCGAAATGAGTATTTTTTCCATTGACCCAAGTTGAGACCAAAGGAAAATATTATTGAGCTACCAATTACTTCCTAGTTTTATGTAACCTTTTTTCTTTCTAGTAATTCTAAAAAGAATATAAATACAATAAAGTTTTTCTTTATTTGAAAACTTTTAAATAATTATTTTATATCATCTACGATAACAATTTTTTTCAGTATAATTTCACAAGTGAAATTTGGATAAAGTGATATGTATACAACCTTATTCCTATATTGTGAAGGTAGAAAGTCTGATTTGCAATAATTTTAGTCTCCGCCTATAGTACTTAAACAACACTAATAATTAAATGCAAATATCGTGGCTTAATATCTCTCTCTAAATATAAAATATTTCTTTAGCTATATATTTGTCTTCTTACTCTTTGTTTCAAACAAAATTCCTCCTTCATAGAGAATCAAGAAGCATTAATTAGAAGAAAAAACATGCTAGGAGAAAGTGATGAGAAGAATATGGTACAAAATTTCTCTTAACCCCATTTTTTGTTTCTTAATTATCTTTTAGAAGAGAGTATTCATTCATGATTTCATTCTAACACTTTTTCTCTTGTTCTTTTTTGCAGAAAAGCAACTTCATGATCATGGAGAAACAAAATATCCAAGATCAACCACAACAACAACCACAACAACAACAAACCCTAAAATGCCCTCGTTGCGATTCATCGAATACCAAGTTTTGTTACTACAACAATTATAGTTTGTCTCAGCCAAGACATTTTTGCAAATCTTGTAAAAGGTATTGGACTAGAGGTGGAACCCTAAGACATGTCCCTTTGGGTGGTTCCTCTAGGAAAAACAAAAATATCCAGAAACCAAATTTTGTTACATCTTCTACAAATCTTGGTCCTAATTTTCATGAACCCCAAGTTGTTGTTGATCATACAAATCCTTTGTTTAATTATGGGTTATCCACTAACCCTTTTGATCCAAACATCCAATTTCCAAGATTGTTTAATTTTTCTAGGGTTTTCAATAATGAAAACCTTGGATTAGGGTTTTCTAATGAATTCAAGAAGATCCAAGATATTGTAACTAGTACTAATAACTCTAGTTCTTCACTTCTTTCAAGTTACCCTACTTTTGGATCTTCTTTAATATCTAGTTCAAGTTCAAATTTGACCTCCCTTATAGCTCCTACACTTCATCAACAAAACTTCATTACCAACAATGACAAGTTTCAAGATTCTAATTACCATGAGCTTAATCAGATTGAAGAGATGAATTATGTTAATAATCCTTTTCTTTCTTGGGCTAGTGATTATGTTGATCCTTCAAATTTAGGGTCTAGTTCACTCCCTTCTCTGATCTAAGGTAAGAAAAATATTTTGTATATCTTTTTTACAATCTACCTCCTTTTTAATAGTAATATTGGTCTTCCCTAGGTAGATAATTTTTTGTTTGGTTTTATTTCTTCCTTTCTTTAGAGCCTGAGCCTTGGAGCAACAATAAATTTATCTTCGTATGACCGATAAGTTACGAGTTCGAATGATAGATCTTGCCTTAGGATAACTAAGCTACCTACAATATTACACCCCTTGGAGTGCAGTCCCTTCTCAAACCCTACTTGAATGTGAGGTGTTTTATGCACCGTTCTTCTCCTTCTTTCTTTCAAGGCTGATGGAAAATATTTACCGAAAGTAAAAAGAGAAACGACATGACTTAACATGGATGAGCATGGTGCCTAAGTCAACTTGGGATAACTTATTAGACTATTCTATCAAATATATTTGTTACTCTATATCAATACAATCATCGGTTAATTCTATACATCAAATTTCCGATGGTTTGACAAAATATCATATAACGTGAGATTTGAATCTAGATCTCCCATGGTTCTAGAATCGGAGTTTAGTTCATTGTTTATTATATGTATATATATAATATATATATCAGATAGGAATAGTTACCCTTGATTTATTTTTCGTATACATTTTTCTTTTAATTTCAGTTTCTAGTTTATATATGGGAAAAATATTGGGTATAAAATTGGTATACAAGAGTGGGAGATCTTGTTTTGTAATTTGACTATCAATTAATTATTAAGTTGGTCATGCTTATTTCTTGTATACTTTAATTTGTTAATTATTTATGCTAATATAGCTTCCTTACTATTTATGTTTTCCCTAAAAACCTTAAGTCCTTATGTAATGGACTGGGGTTCGAGCTTTGAGATTGTAAAATTTCTATTAGAGACCCTTTTTTTTTTTTTAATTTAAAAAGTTTCGTGCAACATGTATTGAGCTAGTATGTGCAAAAATATTGGACGGTTAAGCAAAACAATTGATGGACAACGTTTGTTCCACCAGACCAACGTAGGTCATTATTAAGGTTGTCACGGACGCACATAAAAGAATTTTAGCCAAAAATTCAAATATCACCCAAAATTCATGAAACACACAAAAAATGGAGAAATTGGTATTTCCTGTTCTAGGCCTAGTATGAACTTAAAAATACATACGTTCGCCCTTCCGAACCAAAGTGTCATTAATAAGGTCGTCACGGACGCCCACAAAAAGTTTCATCCAAAAACCCTTCATGATCAAATATCACCTAATTATATCCATCGACTATAGCACAAGAAAAATCGATATACCCTGTTTCGGGCCTTATTTGAACTTGAAAATGTCAACCAATGTGTGTAATTCATAAGTTCATCACGGATTCCCACAAACAATTTCGTCTCAAAACTCGTCCGGATCAAATATCACCCAAAATTCATGGACTATATAGCACACGAAAAATGAAAAAAACAGTATTTCCTATAACGGGCCTCGTTTGAACTTAAAAAGGCCTAAGTTTGCCCCTCCTGACCAACGCGCGTCATTAATTAGGTCGTCACGGATGCCCACAAAAAAATTCAACAAAAAATCCGTTGGGATTAAATATCACCCAAATCCATGGATTATATAGCACACGAAAAATGGAAAAATCGGTATTTCCTATTCCGGGCCTCTTTTGAACATGAAAATGACTGTTTTCCCCTAAGGACCAACACATATCATTATTAAGGTCGTCACAGACATCCACAAAGAAATTTAGCTAAAAACCCATCGGGATAAATATCACCCAAAATTCATGGACTATGACACACAAAAAATGGAAAAATTGGTATTTCCTGTTCCGGTCCTCGTTTGAACTTGAAAATTCCTATGTTTGCCCCTCTAGACCAACACACATCTCTAATAAGGTCGTCACGGACGCCCAAAAATAATTTCGGCAAAAAACCCGCTGGAATTAAACATCACCCAAAATCCATGGACTATTATAGCACACAAAAAATGGAAAATCGGTATTTACTCTTCCAGACCTCCTCTTAACTTTAAAATTCCTACGTTTTCTTAATAAAGTCATCATGGACGCCTAAAAAAATTTCAGCCAAAAACCTATCGGGATCAAATATCACCCAATAGCACAAGAAAAATGAAAAAAAATCACTATTTCCTGTTCCGCGCTTTCTTTGACCTTGAAATGCCTATGTTTGCCTCTCCAGACCAACGTGCATCATTAATAAGGTTGGTATGCATGCATAGAAAAATTTCAGCCTAAAACCCGTTAGGATCAGATATCACCCAAAATTCATGGATTGTAGCACACGAAAAATGAAAAAAATTATATATATTATTCTGGGTCTTGTTTAAACTTGAAAATGCCTACGTTTTACACTCCAAACCACGCACGTCATTAATAAGGTCGTCACGGATGCTTATAAAATGTTTTGGCTAAAAACCCATCAGGATCAAATATCACCCAAAATCTATGGACTATAGCACACGAACAATGGAAAAATCCGTATTTCCTATTCCGAGATTCTTTTGAACATTAAAATGTCTATGTTTGCCAATACAAACCAACACGCATCATCAATAAGGTCGTCTCAGACTATTTCGACCAAAAATCCGTCGAGATCAAATATCACCCAAAATTCATGCACTATAGCGCATAAAAATGGAAAAATCGTTATTTCCTGTTTCGAGCCTCGTTTAAACTTGAAAATTTCTACATTTGCCCCTCTGGACACGTCAATAATAAGATCATCACAGACGCCCACAAAAAAATTGAGCAAACAACCCACCGAGATTAAATATCATCCAAAATTCATGGACTATAGCACACAAAAAATGAAAAATAATATTTACTGTTCCGGACCTTGTTTGAACTTGAAAATGTTTATGTTTGCCCCTACAAACCAACGTGCGTCATTAATAAGGTCTGCACGGACGTACATAAAAAAATTCGGCCAAAAACCCATCGGGATAAAATATCACCCAAAATCCATAGACAATAGCACACGAAAAATAAAAAAATCAGTATTTCATGTTCCGCGCCTTGTTTAAACTTGAAAATGCCTATGTTTTCCCCTCCAGACCAACGCACGTCATTAATAAGGTTGGTATGGATGCACAGAAAAAAAATCAGTCGAAAACCCGTCAGGATCAAATATCACTCAAAATCCATGGACTACAGCACACGAAAAATTGAAAAATTGATATTTACTGCTATGAGCCTCGTTTGAACTTGAAAATGCCTACATTTTCCACTCCAAACCAACGCACGTCATTAATAAGGTTGTCACAGACGCTTATAAAAAGTTTCAGCCAAAAACCCATCGGGACAAATATCATCCAAAATCCATGACTATAAACCACGACAAAAGAAACAAATCGCTATCTTTGCGATAAACCCGTCAAGATAATATATGGCACACAAAAATGAAAAAATCGATACGTCCTATTCTGGGCCTCATTTGGACTTGAAAATGTCTAAGTTTGCCCCTCTGAACCAATTCACATCATTAATAATGTCGTCAGAGATGCCCACAAAAAATTTCGTCCAAAAACCTATTGGAATCAAATATGACCCAAAATTCATGAACTATAGCCTACGAAAAATAGAAAAATCAGTATTTCGTATTTCAGGCCTCATTTGAACTTGAAAATTCCTACGTTTGCCCCTCCAGACCAACGCGTCTCATTATTAAGGTTGTTACGTACGCCCACAAAAAACTTCAGCCAAAAACCTGTCGGGATCAAATAATTCTCAAAATTCATGGACTATCACACAAAGCTAGAAAAAATAATGTTTCCTATTCCAGGCCTCGTTTGAACTTGAAAATGCCTACGTTTACCCCCACCAGACCAACGCGCTTCATAAATAAGGTCATCATGGACGCCCACTAAAACTTTCAGCCAAAAACCTGTCAGGATCAAATATCACCCAAAATTCATGAAATATAACACACGAAAAATGAAAAAATCGGTATTTCCTATTTCGGGCCTCGTTTGAACTTGAAAATGCATATGTTTGCCCCTCTAGACAATGCACATCATTTATAAGGTTGTCAGCGATGCTCACAAAAATATTTGGCCAAAAACTCGTCGGAATCAAATATCACCCAAAATACATGGACTATAATACACGAAAAATGAAAAAATTGGTATTTCTTGTTCCGAACCTAGTTTAAACTTGAAAATGTCTACATTTGCGCATACGCGCGTCATTAATAAGCTCATCATGAACACCCATTAAATGTTTCTGCCAAAACTCCATTAGGATAAATTATCACCCAAAATGCATGAACAATAACACACGAAAAATGGAAAAAATCGATATTTCTTGTTCTGAGCCTCGTTTGAAATTGAGAATGCCTACGTTTTGGACCAACACACGTCATTAAAAAGGTCATCGCGAACACTTGCAAAGAAAATTGGCCAAAAGCTAGTCGAGATCAAATAGCACCCAAAATATATGGACTTAGCACACGAAAAATGGAAAAATTGATATTTCCTGTTTCGAGCCTCGTTTGAACTTGAAAATGCCTACTTTTCCCCTTCTGACCAACACGCTTCATTAATAAGGTCGTCACGGACGCCCAAAAAAAATTCAGCCAACAAATAAGAGAAAGTAGTCACCGAAAAGAGGGCACGGTGCTACAACAAATAAGATATGAGAAGTTAGTCATTGGAATGATGCACGGTGCTACACAAATCAAATATGGGAAAGTAGTTTGAAAAAAATGTACGGTACGCAAATGAAATATGACAAAGTAGTCACAATTAAAGATACACGGTGATCCAACTTTTTCTAACATAATTGTTGGATAGACGAGCGACATATATGGATAATAGCTGACCGCCAACAACGGAAGCTCTTTGGTTCTCTACCAAGAACATAGAATCTCAGACATCATGTGAGAAATATCAGAGAAGAATATTATTAAACTACAGTATTACATTATTACTCTACATAAGACTCTTTTTCCAACTTGGACACTACAATACAATCCTTTTCTATATACTATTTATATTCTTATTCCTATTCTAAGTAAGATTGTATATATTATTTCTATGCCTATTCTAACACCAACTAATACTGGAATGGGATGAGGCAAACAACAGTAAATCAAAATATTAGACTCATTAACTCTTGTTACTGGAATCAGCACTTGTGTAATCCGAGCCAAACATAGGTGTATATCTGTTAGATGAAATAATATGAGAATGATACTTTGGTGGACATAATTACTTGGTATTTATGCTGGTGGGAGGTGGCAGGTATCCCGTGAAATTAATTGAGGTGCGCGCAAGCTGGCTGAGGCACCACGGGTATCAAAAACAAAATGATACTTATTATGCAAGTAATTAATGGAGTCCTTTGGTGGATAAGAAAAGGATGAACTTTGAGCTTCCAAGTTATATTGTGATCTTTAAGAAAATTATATAGCATTGTTTACCAAATCCATACAAAGAACAACTGGAATGTCCATTTTATCAAACTTACAAAAATATTGACAAACACCAAACCGATGGAAGTGTAACAAAAAAAACTAATCCTTAACCGTAACTGGTTGATATCACCTATACAAAAAACAACTTCAAGAAAGCAGAAGAGCTCCCAGACAGCACAGTTACAAGAGAACCTAATGAAGTCTCTATTTGTGTCACTCTTATACGAACGACATGCATCAGGAAATGGTAGCCAAAGGAATTGAGAAAAAGTTCATTGACTTTCAATCTTTATAGTGCATGAAAGAAAATCAAACTAAAAATGTTCAATTAGAATAATTTACTCGCTATAGCTTGTCTGAACTTGGACTTACCTTATTTTAAGACAGATGCTTCAGCTGCTCCGAGCTTCCAACACAGGGGTCTGATTTTTTGCAGATTTCTTTTTTCAAACTGCTTCACCATTTGCTCCTCTTGAATTTTGTTGCAAGTATCACTAAGTTGACGCTCAATCATCTAGGAAGAGAAAAACAGAAGAGATCCTGAGATATTTCTCTTCAATGTATAAGTCTTTTATGAAGGATTTCCTATACAAATCGACAAACTTACTTATTTTCCAGTTATTTTCTTTCGCTAATAGGAAAGTAAGAAGCTTCTATTAGCGTAAGACCTTGAGTTGAGTTGATTGAGTCATGTGCAACGTCAATATATGATGGTTCCTTGTTGTCCAATGATTTATATTTTTCTAGGAGTCAATATTGGCTTGCCCCTTTCCTCTTATTAGACAATAGGTTTGGAACCCTATACAATTGGCTTCTTACCAATCCGTCAATAAAATTATCAAAATTCCAATTTGCTTCTCCATTCTTTGAACTAAAAAGGACGGACTGAGTGTTGCAGGTCTGCTGCTTCAAATCCAACGAGCTTAAGCCCTCTTGGGGAGTTCTTTAAAGAGGTACCTCATATAAATAAAAGGCATAAGGTTTGATCCTACTCATGTACATTCCGCAACTTTTCCAAAAAGGTAAGTTCTTGACACATGTTATCTACATCATGTTGTGGATGCCCATGTGACTTGTCTTATCCATCTCTATAAATAGTAAATTGGATGCCACTTCATCAGCAAGTATCATAAGGTAGCCTTACAGTATGATTCAGTCTGCCCTTGCATCATTTGAACATCAGATCCAATAGAAAACTGAGTAAACGTCAGTTGAATATCTCATAGCTTTAGCATGGGTAAATAGATACTTTTCAGGATGTTTACCCCTAATTGGCATAGAGTTAGATCTAAAGTAAGGCATCATAGGAGATATATTAGGTAATCACAAAAAAGATTGGTTCTATAAAATTAGGACCAAACAATAGCATCACAGGAAAAATATTTGTTCTTGCAGAGTTGGGAGTAAAGTTTGGTAGTACAAAAAGGATATAAGGTAGCACATTCACTTTAGTGTAGCCTTAGAATATAATGAATCATGCATCAGATTTATAATTGCCTCAAAAATGAATTTGACGTAGAAAAGTTTATGTAACGCATCATAGGTCTCTTGGCATGCTCGGAGTGATTAAAGATGAATATATTCCACCATTCTGCTAGAAATCCCTTTGAAGAATTGATAAGAGGAAACAAATTGCAAACAGACCCATGAATTTCAAGTTCATTCTGGGAGATGCTTTATATATATCAATTCTCCACATAAACTTCTAATGGAGCGATGGGATGTATTTTGTGAAATATTCATCGTGAACCACCCGAGCATGCCCAAGAATCCTATGATGAGGTGTTACCTAAACTTTTCAAGTTAAAATCACTTTTCTAAGGAAATTGTAATTTGAAAGAATGATTCTTTAATTTCGCAAGCTACACAAACCAGGGAAAATGTGGTACCTTATATCCCTTTTGTAATGCAATCCTTTGCTGTTAATTTTGCAAGATTAACAAATATCACATGATGCAATCATTTGGCCTACTTTTACAGAATCTAATTAAAATCTTCCTTGTGATGCCAAATTTTTGTCCTATATTCCATTCGATGCCATCCTCTAGTCTTGACTTTATGTCAATAGGAGTTGACATCCAACAAAATATCTATTTCAAAGCCAGGAGATGATCAAACCATGTTTATTTAGTTTCCTATTAGATCAAGTGTTCATGTGATATAAGGGAAACCTGAATCAAATTTTTTGGCCGAGAATGCTCTTGAGAAATGCCAACTTATGCCACCTGAGGCTGAAATGACATCAAATCAACAACCCTTTGACATGAATAAGTTGAGTCACATAGTGCCATAGTGCCATCAGCCAACACATGCCCAATATCAACCAACACTTTCCTTGTGATAAAAGTGGAAACACATTATCTTGCTTCTAGTAGAATGAGGCCTAGAAATCAAAGAGACGTCTGCAAAAGAATCAGAATTGAAGCATCAACTATTGTGATATTAAGCAAAATATATGATGGAGTATCATACTTGAACTTAGAAACTTACTATCTGCATCTATTTCTTAACAAAGCACTAAGTGATATACTTAGTCAATGGTTTTAACAAAGATAGAACATGAGCTCCTTTTTGCTAACTTTTCATAATTCTTTTACAGTCTGTAACAAAGCTCTTGAATTATGAGAGACTATACAAAAAGGCTATAATCACATTGTACTACACTATACTTGCATAAAATTCTAATTTTACGAGTGTGACCAAGTATGTTTTTTTTTTTTTGAAACTGGTACTGTTGTATTCGTCAGCAATCAGCATTAAGGATATGCTGGAGACCTTCAAAAGGGGAACAAAACAAACAAAAAAAGAGAGAAACAGAGAAACTACTTACAGAGAGCCTAACAGATCTACAAGCTCTAATTCCTCAATAAGCATACTCCTTATTAGATATCATCTATGTTTCAAAGCACCATACAAATTGCTTGCACTTATTAGATATCATCTCTTTGAGATATGTAGCTTTCCTTTTCTTTTTCTTTTCAGTATCATCTATTATAGCTTTCTGCAAGTCAGCATCTTTCCCAATCTGAAGATTTTAAGAATAAGTTGCAGCACTGCTATTCCATACTTTGTTCGAAGTAATTATACAGGTGCGAGAAAAAAAAAGAGACTAAACAAAGAACGGATAGTCCAATTCCAAAAGAGAGGATATGTCAGCATCAGTTTTTTTTTTTACAGAATTTCTTTGTCATAAAGAATCATAAGTAGGTATAGAAAAACCAATAGTATCAATCCCAAACTAGTTCGGGTTGATTATATGAGTCTCTACCAACTATGTTGACGACTGTTTAACAAATGCAAGTAGCAACCTAGGCAGGTCTTTGGTGAATGAATAAGTTTTTACCATACATTTACACATTTATCACAGTGAAATGACTAACCACCTTATCAGATAACACTACAACATAACACTTCAAATAACTATAGGGTTGTTAAAGGCTCACTGAAAGCACTCTTAAGCCATGAATCTCAGCGAAGCCCAGCTTGTGCGCTTCACCTCGCTTAATTGGTGCTTTAGTGTAGACATCAAGGTGTTAAGGTGTGTGAACATTCAGTAATAGGCTCTGCCTTAAAGGGGTACAACATCATATGTATAGCTTAATTATACAATTTTCCATTCTTTTGTCCACCGATTTATAGTTTGTATTTGTAATTACATTCTCTTGGCGTTTTTCTTTGCTAAATCCAATGCTTTAGTTTTTTTTTTTTTTTTATAACCGAAAAATCCGTCTGTGACCCGCCCTTTGGACCCGCCCTAGGGTATAGAAATTATGAAAGCACATCATTGCTTGATTTTCATATTATAGATCTAAACTCGACTATTAATTAATATTATTTCTTCTTGCAAATATTATAATTTAGTAACTCAGAACTTCATGTCTTTTACCCTTACGAAGCAGTAGTAGCTTTATTTATTTTAGATGTCATAAAGTATCAATAGACACACTTAGTAAGAGCACTTTGTATTCCCAAATTTCTACCATTGTGGTCTCAATCGCACTACTCATAACTACTGTCCTTATCAAAACCTAATCACAACTAAAGTCATCTAAATATTTTTCTTTTCTTGTACTCCAAACTAGTACTAATGTTAATGTTTAAATGTATATTATTTCTTATAGGATTCTGTAAAAAAATAATCAAGAAAGCATGATTAGGAAACTATGAAGACAAAGCCTTGGCAAATCCAAAATTTAAACTCTATAGGTGCCTTACAAGGGGACAGGAGAAAGAGTGGACATGGAAGATGTTATGAAAACCTAAGGTGCCTTACAAAGTGAATTGTTTCACTTGGCTTTTGGCAAAAGAAGTTGTTCTAACACATGAGAACCTGACAAGAGAGGTCATCAGTTGGCTTCTAGGTGTTATATGTGTGGAAAAAGCTGAGACAGTCAACCATCTTTTCTTACATTGTAAATGGACAGAACAACTATGGAGAATGTTCACTAGCGTGAAGGGGATCAGATGGGTGAAATCAGGATGCATTAGAGTTGTACTTAGTAGCTGGAAAGGGATGGAAATGTTACAAAAAAGGAGAGATGGAAGATTGTCCCAGCATGCATTTGGTGGTCAATCTGGAAAGAGAGAAACAATAGGAGCTTTGAAAATGTGCAGAATAGTCTACATGATGTCAAAATGAAGTGTTTAGCTCTATTTTACTTTTGCTGTAAACATAGTTTATTAGCTCAAACTGAAGACATCTTTGATGTTCAAGATTTTTTATAGGCAACAAAAATAGACTTGAGCTTTTGATAGATCGTAATACTTTTAAAGGGGAACTACACTTATACCTGTGGATATATAGAGTAATGTTACCCGTTTCAAAAAAAAACTCTACAGGTTCAATATTTAAGGTTGGCAGTATCGAGCCCATTCTATTTTTTAAATTACAGATTCAGACATACTATTCATTCTAATTTTACTAGATTTTTACGCATAAATTTATATTTTGTGTCGGAAGTACTGAGTGCAGATGAAACCGGAACCGCAACATTGTATGTGCCTCTTATGGAAAGCCAAACTTGCTATTAACACCAAATCTTAAAACAACCTTGTGCAACAACATCCCATTCATTAGAAAATAGAATGAGATTTGAACCTTTGTTGGTCAAGCATTTATGACTAGTGGAATTGAGAAATGAGAAAAGGTTTCTACTTTAATAAATATCTCTTTACTTTTACACTATCTTGTGACCCTTATTAGGGAAAGAGAAAGGTAGTACAAATAGTATATTTCTATTTAGTTTATAACGTCCTATAACACTACTTGTACCAAGTCGGACCACTCTAGTAATAACTTGTTGAAACTGGAATGACCTTAGGTAGAAGGGTTTTAGACTACTTGCAAAGACAGAGTAGTTTAAAATATGTTTTCTTTATAGGGAGCTACTTGAAGAATATAGAAATCTATCAAGGTAAAGAGAAACGACTTTCACACATGTTATGATCGCAAAATCCAGTATTATGGTGTTATTAAAAGTCATTGCTTCGTGCTTAAAGCAATAAAGCAATCCAAGCGAGGAGTTATTGCTTCATGAGCGAAATCATGCACTTAAAAATCTATGTTGCTAGGACTCTTCCAAAAATGTTGACGGGTGCGTGTCGGATCCTCCAAATAGTGTATTTTTGAAGGATCCGACGCGGGTGCAACATCATTTTTGGAGAATCCGAGCAATTTAGCTTCAAATGATGACATGCAAAATAATCCTAACCTTAAGCGGACGATTTTTGGCTCAAGTATGAGAAGTTGGAGTAATACCAACTTTATTATAGCATTAAATCATATGTTTAATCTTTTTAGTGTTCCATAATTTGCGCTTTATTTCATTATGTATATCGACTTATATATTCTATTTTATGTATGATGATTATTAGAGAAAGTGAAAGGAAGCCACAAATGGAATATTTCTGTTTAGTTCATAACATCTTATGCCACTTCTTGTACCAGGTCAGGCCCCTCTCGCTATGTTGCTCGAACTCTTCAAAAATGTTCGAATCCGTGTTGGATCCTCCAAGAACAAACTACTTTTGGAGGATCCAACACGCACCCGTCAATATTTTTTAAGAGTCTGAGCAACATAGCCTTTTAGTAATGACTTGTTGAAATTAGCATGACCTTAGGTAGAAGGGTTTTAGACTACTTGCAAAAACAAAGTAGTTTAAACTTTAAAGTATGTTCACTTTATAGGAACCTACTTTGAAGAATATAGAAGTCAATCAAGGTAAAGAGAAATGACTTCCACACATGTTATGATGCCAAAATCCGGTCATGGTATTATTAGAAGTCTTTTGCTTCACTACTTAAAGCGTTAAAGCAATCCAAGCGAGGAGACCATGCGCTTAAAATGATGACGCGCAAAATAACCTGAACCTTAAGCGGACAATTTTTGGCTCAATTATGAGGCTTTTGATCAATAACAACTTTATTATAGCATTAAGAGGGTGTTTGAATTGACTTATTCTTAGGTATTTTTTACTTTTAAACACTTTTTTATTTTTAGAGGTGTTTGGCAAAGACACAAAGTGCTTACGCCCTTTACCTTAGGCTTAAAATGTACAAAAAAAGAGCCAAGAGTTAAAAGTAGGTAGCTACCTAATTTTGGCTTTTGACTTTTAATTCACTCAAAAAAAGTTTATCCAAACACCCCTCTAAATCATACGTGTTTGGTATTTCTTAGCGTTCCACAACTTGTGCACTTTACTTATCTCTTTACTTTTATGTTCTACCTTATGATGATTATTAGGGGAAGATAAAAGGAAGTCACAAATGGTATATTTCTACTTAGTTTATAACATCCTCTAACACTACTTGTACCAAGTCCGACCGCTTATAAATAACTTGTTGAAATTGGAATGACCTTAGGTAGAAGGGTTAGACTACTTGCAAAGAGAAAGAGTAGTTTAAAATATGTTGAATTTATCAGAAGCTACTCGAAGAATATAGAAGTCTATCAAGGTAAAGAGAAACAACTTCTACACATGTTATGATGGAAAAATCCAGTCTCATGGTATTATTAAAAGTCATTGCTTCGCCGCTTAAAGTGATACAGCAATCCAAGCGACGAGTTATTACTAAATGAGCAAAACCATGTGTTCCGAATGATGACGTGCAAAATAATCATAATCATAACCTTAAGCGGACAATATTTAGCTCCACTATGAGTAAACTTTACCTCAAGGAAATTTAGTTCTCGCTTTTTGCTTCAAGCCCATAGATCTTGTTCTTTTTTGTATTTCATGCTTTTGAAAACATTGTAACCTCATGGTCTAATCTTGCTTGATGATGTGATCACTACATCAACAATGATCAAAGTGGTCCAATATCCTATTTGTACTACCTTTCTCTTATGTGTTGGTCTTTGTTTTCCGAGTTTAAATAGGGATGGGCTGGTAGGTGTTAAGGAACTCAAAGGTAATTGAGCTAACATTCTTTTCCCTTATACCAATCAGCATTTCCCTTCTTCTTTTACTCTCCCTCCTATCTTATCCACAAAATGATGCACAGTGAGGATGTCCCCATTCACTATGTCATTATGGAAATTAAATATTATATCGCAATGCAGAAACTTTCCTCAATCACTGCACTCTACTCTTGAGGTGGTCTCTACCTCAAGATACCACAGCCACAAATCACTTGTTAGAGAAAATATCTGCAGCAAAGCAGGCACAGTCCCTTTTTGTTTTTTATCATTTTGACGGTAAGGGAAGTCTTGGAGCAACTGTAAAGTTGTCTCCATGGAATCAGCCATTGATGTTTGCATCAAGATAGGCTGCCTACCTACATTGGTGGAGTATGGCCCTTTCCCGGATCCAGCGTAAACACAAGATGCTTCATGCACCAGGATGCCCTTATCATTTTGACATTAAATCTGTAGATTTGATTGACTAGACTCCTTGCTAATATAAGAACAGCTTATTCACGACCAAGGAAGAATACTATCTTTTATACAAGTCTAATAATGGACTTGAATACAAGTACCATCAACATAATGTTTCTTCAAACATCGATGATCAATATCTTTAATACTATTTGGAGTCCAATTCGTAAAAGCTTAACTACTATCAGTATAATGTTACTTCAAGCATCCTTGATCAAGCCCACTTATATAAATACCAAATGTTGCCTGTGACCTTAACCTAAATCGCTCATGCCGAAAGCCATCAACGTTATGGTTTCTCATTACCTAAACCCTCTATGCCTCATTTAAATGTATTAGCAGTTTAACATTTACATCAAGACACTGCACTTTAAGGCTGCATACACATCACCCTACCTAGATCACATTTATGGGGTTACACTGGGTATGTTGTTGTTGTTGTGCACTGCACTTTAACTTGTGCACTATAATGATACTGTCATTCTTCCCACTTGTAGGAAAAGTTGATGCTTCTTGAAGAACTATTACTCCCAAATCTCCAAGTTGATTAAAAAATATGCAACAGCCATTTTACAATTGGGAGAAAGCAACAACATCGAATGTTATTCCATTCATAATCAAGTACTCATGATAAAGCTTGGATTACAAAAAAATTAAATGCTTAAAACAATCAAGAAGTAACAAAATGCATCTTGTCTTTCCTCATGGCTATAGCCTACATGTACTGTATAATAGCTAATGAATTGTAAACTTTCTCAAGTTATCACCTTCTTAATTCCATGCCAAGAGCAAGATCAGGAAATCAAGATCTTGATTTGATTAGGGAGTCTGCTGCATCCCAGAGCAGGAGGCGGTGGAAGAGCCTGATAGGAAGATTAGCAGAGAATCTGATATGAGTTTCCGTTATAATAGAGAACTGTTTAATTGTCCTTGAATAACTAAAAACAGACATTCTCATTTTGGGTCAAAAAGCATTCTCACATAAGCAATTCTTTCATTCACTTCTGCAATTACCAAATAATTTAGGCTATAGGTACATTCAGTTACGTATCGAGAGATCTTGTATACACCAAATAAAACCTCATCTTAGGGGAAATATTTCATATCCTTAAAGCTGGACATGAACGAGGCTGTAAGCTAATCCATAAATGTACTTGATGTTCATGATCGGACATACAAAGTTAAACCAATATTAATTTTGGTAATTGCAATACAAATACAACAATGAGCATGTTCTGCACAAGGCACTGAGAATTCTGAAAAAGTATGCAACTAATTCCTCGAATGAAGGAGCTTTTCTAGCAGATTTTAGTTACTATCTTAATGCATGTTAAGTCAACATATAAGAGTGGAAATTACTTAGGTGAGCTCACATGTATTATCAAGACCAAAATCAAGAGATTCTGAAACATAAACGAACCTGCTTCAGAAGGATCTGGCATCGTAGGAGAGCTAACTGGTGTAACAGAATGAGAAGAAGGTGCTGGCACAGCATAAGGGACTTGAGGTACCACATTGTCCATAGTACGTGCAGCCTGATAATTTTAAAAAAGCATTCATTTAGATTATCATAGTTTCAAAAGGAAGGTAAATTTAACTTAGAAAACTTTAGGGAATACCTCAGCAAAAGGATCTTGGGAGGAATGATTAGAGATGAGCTTATCATATAACATATTCCACCACTTCGTGAGAAATGCCCCTGAAGATTTTATAGCTGAAACAAATCGCAGAATTAAATAATTGTACATTAGCACATCACCTCAAATAAAATGATCAGTCACTATGTTGTGCACATCCCTCCAAAATAAAAAAGAGCAATTAATACAATTTTATAAACACAGAAAGCATTTTCGAGAAAAAATTACCCTAGATATGTGCACCACAACATTCAAAGAATGGCATTATCTATCATTCCCTTCATTCTATTCGTATGAATACTTTTGGTATGTTACACTCTCTTTAACCCAATTTATATGGCATACTTTACTTTTTCATTTGTCCCCAAAAAATGTCACCTTTATATATTTAAAAATACTTTAAAATTCTCACGTTACTATGATGATTTATAGTCACACATGTTTAAAGCTTATTTTAGACCACATGTATCAAAGGTATTTCATAATTTTTGTGGCCCAATGACACATAAATTCGAATATAGAGAGAATAAATTTAATTTGTGCCACAAGACTTTCTTTTTTTCTTAAACTATGCGTCTAGTCAAACACCATACAAAAATTTAAATGAAATCAAAGAAATAACATAGTTCTTAAAAAAACATGATCATCACTAAAAGGGTAGCCCGATGCACAAAGAATCTTGCATTCACCCAACGTCCGTAAAAGCCCCGCATCCCAAGGGGATGTAACCTAGGCAGTCTACCCTGAGTTATAGATCATGCGGATACAACTTTTAAAGAAGATAATCACGATTAAAGCACAGTAATGAGTTCAAATCTTCCATAAATTTAAAGAAAGACTTACCATCATCTGTGGGATTTTCAACAGCAACTCCACGCGCGAATGCATCGGCAGACTCACGCATCCCCTTCTTAACCAAGTAATCATAGATGCACTTTTCAAGCCTGAAGAATTACCAAAAGAATCTCATTAATTTGATGTAAATTGTTTTCCCCTAAAACATTTTCTCGATGAAGATGCCTTCCAACATTAATTTAAAGGGGAAAACATCAAATTTGACCCTATACTATCTAAAATTCAAGCCTGAAGGACAGCCCGGTGCACTAAAGCTTCCGCTACACGGGATTCAAGGAAGGACCGAACTACAACGGTCTATTGTATGCAATCTTACTCTGCATTTTTGCAAGGGATTGGACCAGACCACAAAGGTTTATTGTACGCAATCTTATTTTGCATACTTGCAAGAGATTGGTCCCACGGCTTGAACCCGTGACCTTCTGGTTGCATTGAAACAACTTTACCAGTTACTCCAAGGCTCTCCTTCTGCCTAGTGAAAAACTATTTTCTTATTTCTTACGCTTGTCTCCTATCACTTGCTTCAACAAATAATCATACCTTTCCTTTCAATTTCTAAAACTTAAAAATGTCATCAAAACCCTACTGAAAAATCTCTCCAAAAAATTGTTTCTCAAGATAAAGCACGTTTTACATAAATTTCTCTGATTGAAAAAAACATTCAAGCATAAATTAAGAGGGCATAAAGGGAGAAAAGAACATATATCATAAAAAGTTATAAACTTGTACTCACATCTTTTCAGAATTCCCTGAGGCCATGATCCAAAAGAGAATGGAGAAAGAGGAGAAAATGAGAGTGAAGATAGATTAGGTATCAAGATTTGTCTGCCGAAAACTAAATGGAAGAAAACATACAAACAAACAATATATACTATTGACTTGAAAATACTGAGTGATAAAAGAGACAAGAATATGGATGCCAAATATAGGCAAAAATAAAATAAAATGATATCTATATTTTCACTATTAAAATGGAAGGTTATTTAATATAAAGTGTGTAATAAAAAATATGGAAATCAAATAAATGATGGGTGAAAATTTGAAAAACAAAAATTGTATTGACTTGAAGTCAGTGAGAAAGAAAAGAGACGAGGAAAGGATGCAAAAAGAAAATCTACAATTTCATTGTTAAAATGGAAACAAATTCATTATAAAGTGTGTACAATAAAAAATATGGCATGTGCAATCAAATGAATGATAATTTACATACCAACAATTGTATTGACTTAAAGAGATTGAGAAAGAAAAGAGATAGAGAAAAAGAAATCAACATTTTCATTGTTAAAATGGAAAAAAAAAATCATTATAAAGTGTGTACAGAAAAAAAGTATCGCAGGTAAACAATGCAGTAAATTGAAGGATGAGTGATAATTTGGTTAATAAATAGAATAAAAACCATATGCACAAAAGAATTCATAGTAATAAAAAGTATTCTTGTTTCGTCTCCACAACTAAGATTTTCTTTAAGATTTAAAGCTTTTTCTTTTTTAATCAATTAATTCTTATTACACTTTTTTTTCCTTTTAAGAATTTTCCTTTTATACGTTTGGTACAATGCAGAAATAATTTATTTGCTTCTTATGCCTTTGACTCTTAAAGTCATCAGACAATTTTAGAAGTTCTCCTGAAGAAGAATATTGAGAGAAGTTTAAAAGAAAAAACTTTAAGGTGTCAGGTAGTTATCTATTTAAGAAATTGATTTGTTTGCCAAATTTTAAAAAATATTTGAATTTAAATTCTTAACTATTTGAGAACATTTCTAAAAGTGTTTTCAATGAATATTTTTAAAGAAGTTTATGATGATAATCTTAGGACCTTGTATGCTTGGACACTTCAATTTTATTCCTAGAAATTTCCTTTGTTTATTAACTCCGGAGTGGAGAATTAATATTTTTTAAAAGAGGATCATGGAATAGTGAAAAGAAGAAGAAAACCCAATTTGTATGTGTTCAAAAGAATGAGGTAGGCATAAAATCACATGAAATGAAGTTGTTTTCAAATACATACGATCTCTTTAAAAACACATAGACTTACCAAAAAATAACATGCAATAAGAAAAAACAATCTATGTAAGCGCTACCAATTAGCTGTGGTTAAAGTTTTAATATTGATGATACATTTACATTAGGTCCACTACTTGGTACTAGTCTTTTGGTCTAGTCAGAAACTATATGATCATTTAGAAAATGCGGAGAATTTCTAACACTAAGAAAAAACTACATAATAATTTAAAAATACTGGCAAGACACTATTTTTTATAAATTGACGAGTAAAAGGGGATGATGTAAGTAAAAGAGAAGGTTCTTTTTTTGTGAGAATTTATATTTACAGTTAAAAAGATTTAAGAAGTGATCATGACTAGTTTGTGATCTTAGCGTGGAATCAAGTGTAAAAAATAAATGGTGAAATTTGTCGGTAATTATTAGAGAATTTGTACAAATTGATTAGGTAATTGTGCAACTGTGCAAAAGTCACATAGTAGAATTCACTTTTTTGGGGGGTTTGAGTAAGGTGTTTCAATGAATTTTTTTTTTACCTTTATCAACTAAAATTCATGTTTGCACAAGAATTTATTTGTTGCCTTGTTCTCTTTTAATTGTAAGAATTGGGTTCTCTTCTCTTATTTGACTTTGCTCCAAAACAAAACTATTTTGCATCAATCCCAAGCAAAAGTTACACTACAAAAAAAAAATTAGCTACAAACTCGTCACTTGAATTTAGCTCATTTTTATTTTTTGAATGTAATTTCTTGTTTAGAATTGATGCGTGATAGTTTTGTTTTGTAAATCATAGTCAAATAAGAGAAGGGAGCTCAATTCTTTGAACAAGGCAAACGAATGCTTGTCCAAACATAAATTTAGTTGACAGACAACAAATTTTAATTGAAACACCTCGCTCAAACCAAAAAAAAATTAAAAAAATCTACTAAGTATGTGACTTTTGCACAATTGGACATTTACCTAATTAATTTGTACAAACCCTTTATCAGTTACCGACAAATTTCACCAGTTATATTTTACACTTGATTCCATGCTAAGATCATCAACTAGTCATAATCACTTTTTTAATCTTTTTGACTATAAATATAAATCCTCACAAAAAACTCCTCTTTTTTACTTCAACCCCTTTTACTTGTCAATTTAGAAAAATTAACTTTTTCTTTTACTTGTTCAATTAAGCAATTTAAAAGGGAATTACAAACAAACAAAAAAACAATTTCACCACTACCATTAAGGAATCATTTTTCAAACTAATTGAAGTACTAATAGTCAATTCCTTCCTTTTTAAAGCTCGTGCCCACATAAATCAGAACAGAGGGAACAATATAACCTAACCTCTATAGAATCCATCGTGTCTTTAGTCATTGTCTTCACATCATGAGCTTTCTTTTGTACTTTATCTGCAGTACTAGTCTCTGATTTCTTCTTCAATCTAAGAGAAGACAAACTTACAAGTTCTAATAAACAATTTATAAATGTTAAGTAAATTTTTAAACACAAATTCAGGATGCGGGCAAGGCTAAAGCTACTGGGTTCGGTGATTCTGTGAAGTAGTATACAGGCTTGTAACTTCGCCCCTATTTTAACGCATACACAAGCCCATGTTATAAATACACACATACATGTTTGAGTCAAAGCTAACTGGATTTGAACAGACAAATATTATGTCATGCTTAATACTACCTATGTTAAATAAATTTCATAACTAATCAAACTATGTCATACAAATAATTGGAAAAAATATCATAATCATCTACCAAAAACAATAAACAGGTGGGAAAAGGTACCTCAGAATAAGTAGGGGATGAGGAGAAGAAAACACGGGAGACATTGCCGTGGAGAAACAGACATTACATGCAAACACTTCATTCCTGAAGTTGTTCTTTAGAAATTTCCATGCATTGCCTCATTTTCTGAACAACTACAAGATGGTGGCAGAACCAGGATTTTCAGTAAAAGGGTTTAATATATATAGAAGTAAGGACACGAAGAAGACAAGGGAATTCAATATCTATCTCTATAAACATAAAAAAAGAAGTATATTTTTCCGGAAAAGGGGGTTTGGATGAACCCCGTTGTGCCCCCTATCTAGTATGATAAAAGTAAAAATCCTTAATTTCTCCTTTAGCCTGCCTATCACCAAACTTTTAAGGTGTTTCTGCTGAAAACTTGTGTAAATCTTCACCTTGAAGAGTTTCACTTTCTTCGTAATCCTGCATAAAGCTCTCACATTTCACATTAGAATTTTAAGTTGCATTTCTCCCTTGAATACTGATAAAATCATGCACAAAGTTGCAGAAAGATATCTCAATGACCAAAAATATTCTGGAAACAAATTCACACTGGATATCGTAACCAAAACAACTACTAAATGTTACGATCATGGGATCACTTATGAGTATTCAGCTTATTCTGGCATGTTCTTCCCTTAAGCTAACATGCATAAGCATATTATCGTTGAAATCACTAAAACTTGCAAGGGCAGAAATTGTGCGCTGTAAAGCTTTAGCTGCCAGGCCACTTTAGGTAAAACATCCTGTTAAGGACAGGATGAAGTCTTTGAAAATTGTTTCTTTTGATTTGTACTCATAAACTGGGACTTGACAATTGATAGCCAATAGCAGGGGCAGCAGTGCAAGCTCCCTGAGAACAAACGAACTTAAAGATGAACCTGAACGGAATACTATAATGAACAATGCAGATAAAGTCAACTTTCAGATGCTATAAAAATTCAGGGGACTGACAGTTAAGCTCCATTCTTGATTACATACTTGTTGGCGAGCCTTATTTTCCTCTACAGGTACAATAAAAGGAAAAAATCAATCAGAACAAAGAATTAGAAACCTCAAATTAGCACGAATCTACTGTACCACTAGCTCAAATTCATCATTTGTACAATCTAAGTTTTAGGCATTTTCGATATCCTCTGTATGGTCAAAGCAATAAATTTTCTTGGCAACTCTTCTGGAAAAAACATGCAAAGAGCAAAGCACTCATCATATCCATGGAACAAAACATGTAAACTTGTGTGCTACTTCCCTACTTCTTTCCGTGTATGTTTTCTTAATATCATGTTTATCCTAAATGCTATTTCAAGGAAAGTAATCTTCGTTAAATAGATAAGGAGAGGAAGATAAAGAAAAGAACACCATTGGTGAGATTGAAACTTTGCACCTTCGTAATGTAGGATGGAAACACAACCACTAAACAGCATCTATTTACTTTTTAAAATGCATAATACTGTCTCTTTCCGTTGACGCTCAATTTTGCAGGACAAAGATACATATTCGTTCTGTTAACATTGGCAACACTAAGAAATGGATGTTTTTGCCTCTGCAAATCATAGGCTCAATTCTCTATTTATCTGTTCTTTAATTCTAAGTCATTCAAAATTAACAAAATTACATGCAGATATTGCTTCCCAAATCACAACATTTGCAACAGCATGAAGACTATGGACACAATACAGATCTGCAGTAAAGCTGATACGAATCATCGCATTCATCATTCATCGATAAGGGCAGGGGCGGAGCTACAGTGTCTTGAGGGTGTCCAATTGGACACCCTTTATCGGAAAATTATACCGTACACTTAAGTAAAATGCTGTTCAAAATGCTTAAATTTAATACTTTGGACACCCTTGACTCAATCAGCCACTGCGGCCCAGCGGATGGAGGCTCACTTGTGAAGCCCATGTGCGCAGGTTCGAATCCCCAGTAGCTACTCATTTTTATAATCATTTTTAAGAGCTCCTATTTTATTATTTTTATAATCATTTTTAAGAGCTCCTATTTTATTATTTTTATAATCATTTTTAAGAGCTCCTATTTTATTATTTTTATAATCATTTTTAAGAGCTCCTATTTTATTATTTTTATAATCATTTTTAAGAGCTCCTATTTTATTATTTTTATAATCATTTTTAAGAGCTCCTATTTTATTATTTTTATAATCATTTTTAAGAGCTCCTATTTTATTATTTTTATAATCATTTTTAAGAGCTCCTATTTTATTATTTTTATAATCATTTTTAAGAGCTCCTATTTTATTATTTTTATAATCATTTTTAAGAGCTCCTATTTTATTATTTTTATAATCATTTTTAAGAGCTCCTATTTTATTATTTTTATAATCATTTTTAAGAGCTCCTATTTTATTATTTTTATAATCATTTTTAAGAGCTCCTATTTTATTATTTTTATAATCATTTTTAAGAGCTCCTATTTTATTATTTTTATAATCATTTTTAAGAGCTCCTATTTTATTATTTTTATAATCATTTTTAAGAGCTCCTATTTTATTATTTTTATAATCATTTTTAAGAGCTCCTATTTTATTATTTTTATAATCATTTTTAAGAGCTCCTATTTTATTATTTTTATAATCATTTTTAAGAGCTCCTATTTTATTATTTTTATAATCATTTTTAAGAGCTCCTATTTTATTATTTTTATAATCATTTTTAAGAGCTCCTATTTTATTATTTTTATAATCATTTTTAAGAGCTCCTATTTTATTATTTTTATAATCATTTTTAAGAGCTCCTATTTTATTATTTTTATAATCATTTTTAAGAGCTCCTATTTTATTATTTTTATAATCATTTTTAAGAGCTCCTATTTTATTATTCCTTTAATTATCTAAGGTAATTAAAGGACTTTCTAAAAAATAGTTAGTAAATTTGTTAGAAATCTATAACTTAAAAATCTAATAAAGCTTATTGAATTTTCAATGAATTTGACTTTTTATTTCTTTTCATCAAAGTTTGAAATAAAACTTAAACGTAATTATTAAAATGATTTCATTTTAAGTTGAACCACCCCCTTTCTTTTCTTTTTTTCCTTTGTTCATTTACTTCATATTAAATTAAACACAAATAATTAAAGCTACATATCATGCAATTTGATTTTTAAAATTTTGGAACATTTATACATAAAAAAATATATTAAGATTACGTAATTCGATTTTAAATTTTTCACTGCACCCATTCATCAACTTTTTTTGCTTATGTAATGTTTGGACACCCTTTGTGAAATTTCTAGCTCCGCCACTGGATAAGGAAACCTGAAGAGGCCATGTTCTTATTGCAACAAACATTCATTCTAATTCAATAATGCAATCAAATTACTTTTACCTTCATTGTCATCGAGCTCTTGCAAGTAATGATCAGCATCCAAGGCTTCCACACACCCTACACAAATATGAAGTTGAAAAGCAGAAGCAACTTAGAACCGTAATTTTGCTAACATTACGCTATCTCGTTATCTTGAGAGAACAGTGAAAATCAAAGCTTCAAACGAATCCACATTGAAGATATAAATGACAAACATAGATGGAAAATGCAAGCACAGAAGCGCACAGGCGCAATCCTTTGCAGTGTTACATGAGAAACTTCGCAATTTACAAAAGTTTCTTTTACTCTAGCACATATTGGCTGCCAGAACAATAAGATATTATTGATACAATTCTAAATCAAGGCTTTACAAATTAGAAAAGAAAAAAACACATATTCATGGACCATATTTTGATCTCGCCAAAAGCTTAATATATGAAAAAGCTCTCAGACACTTATCCCAAGACAATTTCCTAGGGACCCTTCCGGTCCTTAGGAAGCCATAATCTGGTGAACTTCCTTTGCCGGAAAACCCAATCCCTTTTTTTCTCTTCCTTATTCTTTCTTTCCCATGGATAACAGAATATATTTCAGACTTGGGGTCAAATCATACGATATTACTGTGTCTAGAAACACGAAAGGAAACTGGTTTGAGTGGGTAGAGAGTGCGAAACTACACTGGAGGAGAATGAAGCTGAGCAGGGATGCTTTATTATGGACATGCAAAAGGCTAGGGGAGGCTTCTGGCATTAAAGGCAAGTCATTTAAGACTTGGAGATGCAAGGACTTTTCTACCTACATTTATTGCTCTTTGAAGTTCAATAAATACGGTAGGTTCATCTCAATCATTGCGGTTAATGGCCATGAACGTTCGGTGATTATTCTGCCAGAAAACATCTTTAATGAGGGCTGGGGTGGCCTATCAAAAAAAATTGAAAGCTTCGACATTAAGGAGGCAGGACATGTTACTGAGAAACAGAGGAATTCTGCGTTTATGAGGTTCAGGGGAGAGGAAAGTTATAAGGAGGTCATTCAAAAGAGCAAATGGGGGGCCATATCTGATAGGAGAGCAGAAAATCAGAAGGAGACACTCTGTGAAGAAGAAGGGGTCCTTAGCAGATGTCTGGTGGGAAGCTTCCCAGAGGATGACGAAATTCCCTCACGGAACGAAGTCAGAAGGTGGGCTATTCAAACGTGGAAAGGCATCCATAATGTCAACATTTACGACATGAATGGTATTCAGTTTCTTTTCGAGTTCCAGTCAAGAAAGGAAGCAGAGCATATTGTTATGGGGAAGTGGAGAAGAAAGAATCACCATTTACAGATGGAATGGTGGTCACCCAAAGCAGGAACAACGCAAGCTGACTTCAAGTTTGATTGGTTTTGGGTTCGGATTCTAGGTCTTCCTCTACATCTCTGGACAGACAAGGTGATGAAACAAATTGGTGACCAATGTGGGGGGTGGTTGGAGACGGAGGAGGAAACCACCTTAAAAAACCATCTCCGATGGGCTCGAATTAGGGTTAAGGGTCCTAGGGAGAAAATTCCGACGGAAATCGAGATTGAAGATGGAGATGGCATTTTTCTGCTACCAGTATGGTGTGAAGCTCCGGCAAGATTCAAAAAAAAGAAGGGGGAGAAGCACTCTGATCGATATGTCAGAGGTTTGACATATGGGGAAAGTTCTCTGCAGAGGGGGACTCTTACGACAGAGATGGAAGAGAGATTAAGGAAAGGCAAAGAGAGCTTTTGTCCAGAAGTCAATCACGATGGGGGTTTTGTACCGCTGGATAAAGGTGGGCACGTGACTTGTGAAAATTCATCTGGAAAAAGGCATGTGGAGGCCCAGGCAGAGAGTCCGGGTCGAATTTTATCCTATTCAAAGTGTAGTGGGGCTGGACCCATTAACTTAGGCCCAAAAGCTACAATGACCTATTTTACAGAACCTTTTATCGGGGATATTTTCAACAACAGAACCTATACGGAGAATTTCATGACATCTTCTACAGAGCTTGAAGAACTCATGCAAGCGACTCATAATCCATCGAACAACATCACAATTGAAATCATTGACATGCAGCGTGCAATTGATCCTTCAGAGTATGTGGAGGAGACAATACTTCCCTTAGTTTGCGAGAAAAGGGTGAACACAGGGGATGATCAAGAAGTTTACACAGGAGAACCCTCCAAGAACCAATTGGTAATTCTGGACGAGCCTCTTCCTATTGCCAGTGATGACTCTCTCTCAGAGGAAGCCATTGATGACAGAGCTTCTTTATGGGTGCAAGCGAATGTCCTTAAACTTAGCAGATTATTTGGTGCTGCCTTCGAAGGATGCGATAAGACTGCTTTTGAATTATTTCTGAAAATTGATCAAAAGAGGGAATTCCTCAAGCAAAATACGGAGAAACACATAAATGGAAATAACTCCAATAACATCCCAAAGGAAGTGAGGAATTTGGCTTTTAATGTGAGTTTTAAAGATGGTGAACCTAGAAGTAGGGGGAGAAAAACAACTTCAAGTGATCAATGTTTAAAGTTGTAACATGGAATGTTAGGGGGGCAAACAATGAGAATAAAAGAAGATTAATTCGGAGTCTACTTCAACAGTGGGGTGCAAATATATACGTGCTAGTGGAAACAAAATTGACAGAAGCAGATACACAATTGATCAAACAATTGTGGTTCAACCGATGGCTGGGAGAACTACACTTAGAGGCTGTGGGGAGAAGTGGGGGTATAGCAGTGTTATGGGACAGAAGAATGTGGAAAGGTGAATTGGTGGAGGCTTCTGGGCAAGTAATCACATGTAAATTTGAAGGCATTAGAACAATGGTGGATGCAAGTAGAAGGTTTCAGGGAGAAGGTAAAGGATTGGTGGTGCTCCTTCTCAGTAAATGGGACCCCCTCTTTTATCCTAGCTTCCAAACTGAAGTTACTGAAAGGGAAGTTAAAACAATGGGGATATGAGAACAGAGTCAACTGGAAACAAAAGAAGGAAGAGATACTCAATCAAATTGCTGGTCTGGAAAAGATACAAGAGCAGAGAATATTGACTGATGATGAACTCCTTCAAAAAGTTCATCTATCTAGGGAGTTTGATGAAGCTTCCAGGAGTGAGGAGATAGCTTGGTGACAAAGGTCAAGAATTCAATGGCTTAAACATGGAGACAAGAACACCAAGTACTTCCATAGGATGGCCACAGCACACAAAAGAATAAACTCAATTGAAAAACTGGAAGTAAATGGCAGAGAGTTGACTGATACTGATGAGATCAAAACGGAGATTACTAATTTCTATCAGAAACTATACAGAGAAACTGAGAATTGGAGGTCTGGTCTAAACTTACAAGGCATTGAAAGCATCAGTTTGGAGGAGAAGGATTGGTTACAAAGACAGTTCGAGGAAGAAGAAGTGGCAGAAGGAATCAAATTGTGTGCAAGCGACAAAGCCCCTGGCCCTGACGGGTTTCCTATGAGCTTTTATCAGAACTTTTGGGAGATGCTCAAGGTAGATATCATGAATACCATCAGACAATTTCATGATCAGCAGGTCTTTGAGAAGAGCTTGAATGCCACATTTGTGGCTCTTACCTCGAAGAATACAGAGGCAATTGAGCTTAGGGACTTCAGACCCATAAGTTTGATAGGCGGGGTATACAAAATTATAGCTAAGCTGCTAGCTGAGAGGTTGAAGAAAGTAATAAACAAACTGGTAAACAAACATTCAGATGGCATTCATAAAAGGCAGACAGATCATGGATGCTGCCCTTATTGCTAGCGAATGTGTAGATACTAGACTCAGAGGGGTTGACTCTGGAGTTATGTGCAAGCTAGACATTGAGAAGGCATATGATCATGTCAACTGGTAGTTTTTGCTCAATATGTTAAAACAATGGGGTTTGGTGAGAGATGGTTGAGATGGATTGAGGTTTGTATAAAAACTGTTAGGTTCTCCATTCTGATAAATGGAGAACCTACCGGTTTTTTTCCCTCAGAAAGAGGTCTCAGGGAGACCCTTTGTCCCCTTTCCTTTTCATCATAGTCATGGAAGGATTCGATAGTATGATGAGGGTGGCTATTCAAAACTCATTGTTGCAAGGATTCAAAGTAGGCAATTTCTCAGGGGTGGATATGCAAATTTGTCACTTGCTTTATGCTGACGACACTGTCATATTTTGTGAAGCTAAGGAGGAACAAATTAGAATTGTCAGAATGATATTGGTAGTCTTTGAGGCGGTCTCAGGCTTGGCAGTCAATTGGAGGAAGAGTTGTATATATCCCATCAAAGAGGTGACACAGATCCAGGCCTTAGCAAACATTTTGGGGTGCAGAATTGAAAAACTCCCAACTGTTTACCTAGGTATGCCACTTGGAAACAACCATAAAGAGCTAGTGATATGGGATGGTATAATTGAAAAAACTGAGAAGAAACTGGCAAACTGGAAATCTCAATATCTATCCTTCGGTGGGAGAACCATTCTGATAAACTCTGTACTAGACTCTTTACCTACCTATGTGATGTCCCTATTCCCTATGCCGGCCAAAGTGGAAGAAAGACTTGATAAATTAAGGAGAGATTTTCTTTGGTCGGGAATCAAGGAAGGTAAAAGAATACATCTTGTCAAATGGCAAACTGCTTTGCTGAGTAGAAGCTCAGGGGGGTTAGGGATCAGAAACTTGGGGCTACAAAACAAGTGCTTGTTGGCAAAATGGTTGTGGAGGTTCGGAAGAGAGGATCAAGCACTTTGGAAGGAAGTTATCAGTAACAAGTATGGCCAGAATAGCCCATGGGTTTCCAATATGGTGAATATCCCGTATGGTGTCTCGGTGTGGAGAACTATCAGAAATTTATGGGGTCAACTACAACACAATATTAGATACAAAGTGGGGAATGGGACCAGGGTTCTTTTCTGGAAAGATCACTGGATTGGTCAGGTTTCCTTGATGTCTTCCTATCCGGATATATATATCCTCAGCTCATCTCAAGATGCAATGGTAAATGAGGTATGGTCTGAACAAGGATGGAATTTCAGCTTCAGAAGGTTACTAAATGACTGGGAGATAGGGAGAGTAGCCGAGATGCTACAAACACTAGATGATTTCAAGGGCACAAATCTGGAAGTTGATGTAATGATTTGGAAACACAATCATGATGGTATGTTGTCAGTCAGCAGATTGTACAATAGGAAAGTGAAGGAACTTCCAGGGGAAATCTCTGGACCATGGAGTAAGGTATGGAAAAATAAAGTGCCAACTAAAGTGCGGTGTTTCTCATGGCTAGTGGCTAGAAGGGCATGCCTAACTCATGAGAAGCTGCAAAGAAGAGGCTTTGAAATAGCTTCCTGGTGTTCACTGTGTAATGAGACAAATGAGACTAATAGCCATCTATTCCTCCATTGCAAAGTCACTGCTCAATTATGGGCCATTTTTCTTAGCAGAACACACACAAACTGGACAATGCCAGAACACACTGCAGACCTTCTTAGTTGCTGGGTGAGAAGAGGGGGGAGTAAGAGCCAGAAGAAATGGTGGAACATGATACCCTCTTGTAAATGGTGGACTATTAGGAGAGAAAGAAACAAGAGGTGTATGGAAAATACTGCAGAATCAGTACAAAAGATCAAAATGGCGTTGTATGAAGACCTTCTGTTTTTGGTGTAATGAGGAGGGTATAGAGGATGCTGGACAGATTTTAAAATTTTTTCTCTTCTTTATAAGTTTAGTAACAATTTCTTGAGTTGGTCTTTTTTTGGGTCACTGATGTAAATCTTTTTGATGGTTGCCAGCATACCCTCATTGCTGAAGAATACAACTTTACTTTATCAAAAAAAAAAAAAAATTTGATCTCGCCAGCACAGAGACTGTCATAGTAGAAGTATGTGAGATACACCTAATAGACATGCAGTAGACATGGCCAACCAAGCAAACCAACTTCATTTCTGGACCAAGCAAACCAATAATGAACAAAGATTAAACCAAATTTGGATCACTAACCTGTGCCAGCATGTGTGACGGTTTTGCCCATACACTTTTTATCTTGAATATAACCAGTAACAAAAAACGCCGCTGATGCTAGTCTATATTGTCCTTGGCATAGTTACCACATACAGTCAAAACCGAACTGCAAAAGAAGAACAATCTGAAACCTACAGCAATCACTTTTCAACTTTAAGTCATCCTGTCAGCCTATTCTCCCCAGAGGGCTCCACTACCTTGAGTTCCAACGCACCTCTATCATAGGGTTGCTCAACCATCTATTTTGCAGTATTTAAACTCAAATCTACTATAAATTATATATACTTTGGATAGAGAGAAAGTTTGTCAGCTGATGGCACCATGCTACGCTACTTGTTCATCTCAAGAAATAGTGAATTGGATGTAACTTCTTTTGCATGTGCATGAGGTAACCTGTCTCTTGCAGAACTTCGCCAAAATATTTTATTCAGGTTTCCCTTGCATCATTTGAACATTTAATTTCAATAGGAAATATTTTGCTAGATGTTCAACCATACTGACATCGACTCATGACTAAAGTATAGCATCACAATGAATATATTGGGTGTCATAGAATCTATCTATACTACCTTAAAAGCATGAACTCCCTAACTTGAATGTTAAATTACTATAATACTCCCAACTTAAAACACCAAATTTAGTATATATTCTATATTTTATATTGTATTTATTTATTTGTTCTATATTATATTAAAAGCTGGCACCTATATAAAACAAATAATGTCTATAAGATAATATTAGTGAGATAAGACTAATTACATGATTGAACCTCATCAAATTGAAATAAATATATACATTATTGCATTTAACTAATAAAAAATTTCATTGACCATCTTCGTAGGTTTGCGTGAAAAAGAGATATATATGACGATCCACATTGAACATTCACAAAAGAATCTGCAATATTATTTTTTGCTAAGCTTATTATTCAAATCTTCGCTATAATAAGCAATACTATATTTACTATAACATATATTTTTGGAGTTGGTAATCACGTGCAACGCACGTGTCAAAAAACTAGTTGGAACAAAAGGATGAAATACTAAGGAAAGTCATTAGATTTTATAAAACTAAGACCAAATGATTACATCACAAAAGAGATATTTGGTCTCACAAAATAAAAAGGGAAGGATGACACTACAAAAGGTATATATAATATAGAAGTATTTCCAATGACTGTAGCCTGAGAGTTTCACGATTCATGCATTCAAATTATAATTGCTTCAAAGAAATGAATTTAACTTTGAAAAGTTTAGGTGACACCTTAGCATATGATTCTTGAACATGCTCTGGAGACTAAAGATGAATATATCTGGAACACATCCCCCAATTCGCCAAAAATCCCTCTCAAGAACTGATGGCTAAAAAAGTTCCAAGTATGCCCAAGAATTCTAAGTTACTTTTGGAATTTGTTTTAACAATCAATTCTCCAGGGGATCTCTAGCAGAGTGGTGGGATGGGTTCTATGATATATTCACCTCTGAGCAGGCCCAAGAATCCGTTCTAAATCACAAGTTGAGAGTTATATTTTCGGATTTTCCCCATTTTCCTTGTTAAAATCACCAAACTTGGATAGAAAGAAAATATTAGCTTATCCAATCTGCTATTTGACGTGAGTTTTCCTGTGAGAACAGGATACAGTTTTCGACAGTTGTTCTTTCTACTTGGAAGTACTAAGCTATGGCGAAAAAAATTGACAGTTAATGACAGCAGAAACGAACTACCGAAAAGTTGAACTAAACATGCACGTGATGTTAACTTTTTCTGTTGATGTGAAAAATCAATAGGAACACATACATTCGACCCGCGGTATTTAACTAAACAACGTAGCATGAATCTACTGGGTGTGTGGCTCTTCTGAACCAAATATGCAAAAGTAAAGAAACTCACCTGACCAAACATTTGGCAAGATCCAACTCATAAAGGTTGCGTGTTATTTTCCTGCATCTTTCCACGTATGTTCGCTTGGTTTCCCATTTTATCCTAAATGCTTAAAGGAATCTTCAAAATGAAATTGGAGGTAAAATACAGAGATAATAGGTAACTCGCAACTCAATAAGTAAGCCAATGGCAAAAAAGGGCATATTCTAAGCATCAGCTTCAGAATCAATTACAGCTCCTAATAACCACAGTTCTTCACTTACTTGTAGGAGAAAGAAGTAAGTGGCATTCTATTGGTTAGAGATCATACCTTGCTCTCTTTTTCTTCTTTCGGTGCAAGGAAATTTACCTGAAAAGTGGTTGGTTTTGGTGGATTTCTATGATGCAATCCCACATTGTATAGGTTTTTGCACAGGATGGCACTGGTATAATAATTTGATAAAGCTGATTTATAGTCTGATAGCACCTGTCAAAAATGAAAAACAGCACATTAAAATTTTCTGATAGCATAAAACAGTTCATTTCCAGTTGATCATTCAAGACGTTATACGTAATTTAAATTTAATTAATAACAAATATGGAAGAATTTATTTTTTTCCCTGGTAGAATGCATTAGGATTTTAAATTAAATCCACCTTGTGTTGGTGAGGGATGAGGTAGACCACGAGATACGCATGTAAACAGTATGACACAATTCCAAGAGCCTTCAATTGAATAAGTTTGACTAAATCACGCCAACTGAAAAGTTTTAATTCACCCGAAATTCGTGGACTTACAGAGTAAACTCTTACCATTACTTAAATCTGCGACCAATTCTTGTTTTCACTTGATTTCATTTGGTCCCATGTGAACTTATAATCCTAATTGCCTGCCAAGTGATCCTAAATAGTGACAACTGAAAAGCTGATTTGAGAACTTCACTTGTTTGAAGAATGGTTGTAAAATCTTGTACAATTACAGGAATTACGTGGTGCACAAGTGATATATAGAACTTCTTAGAGAACCAAAGCCCACATAATATTTTCCGTTCAGGGCCTATAGTCTCTACCAACTACTCCTTCCATTAACTTTACTTGTCCCCTATTCCAAAAATAAATCTTCACTTTTACTAGTCACTTTTAACATATCAATAAAAGACAATTATTGTTTTTCTATTTTACCGTCGACACTAATTACTTATTCCACAAATCATTTCCAAGACCTAAGACTATACATCAATTGATATGGGCGTTGAAGTAAATAACTCATACTAATCATTGTTTCTTAAGGGGCATGTAAAGTCCAAAGTGGACAAGTAAAAGTGAACAGAGGGAGTATGTTGACGATTGTTAAAGAAATTCAGTTTACCAACTTAGAACGATCTTAGAACCAAAGGTGACTTCCTTTATCTTTCCCTAATAGATAGCTAGGGGAAGTGCATTTACCAGGGGAAGCAGCGGTGGAATTTTGATTACGTGGGACAAGAGAGAATGGCTAGGAGAACTGATTAACTCTGGAAACCAATCGATTCTATGCAAATTTATTGGCATAAACCAGGAGATGACATGGTACCTTAGTGCAGTTTAAGCTGACTACAATAGGGTCACCAAAAGAAACCTTTGGAATGAGCTAATTACTAGCAAAACTTTTTGTGAGGGGCCTTGGGTGGTTTGTGGTGACTTCAATGTGACTAGGTATGTGTGTGAAAGGACAAACTGCAATAGGATCAATGGGGCAATGGCTGAATTTTCTGATTGCATCAACGACTTAGAATTGGTAGACCCTCCTTTATTTGGAGGGTCTTACACTTGGAGAAGAGGGGAAAGCCTGAATAGTGCATCCAGAATCGACAGATTCCTATACTCTCCTGAATGGGAAGACCGATTCTCTCAGGTTAAGCAGACATTGCTCCCAAGACTGGGTTCTGATCACAACCCAATTCTACTATCTTGTGGTGACTGGGAGTTCAAAAAATCCTACTTCAAATTCGAAAATTGGTGGCTAGAAATTGAGGGATTCAGAGACAAGGTGAAGGAATGGTGGAACTCTTTTCCAAATACAGGAAAACCATCTTACAATTTGGCAAACAAGCTCAAGCTCCTTAAAAAAGAGCTGACACAATGGAGCAAAAGCCACAGATTGAACTGGAAGAAAAAGAAAGAGGAGATCCTTTTACAAATCAGCTCCTGGGAAACTCTTCAAGACCAAAGGGCCCTATCTGATGATGAGCTTTTGCAAAAATCACATCTAGCTATGGAGTTTGAGGAGGTTGCCAAGAGAGAGGAGATAGCTTGGAGACAAAGATCAAGAGTTAAATGGCTGAAACAAGGTGATAAAAATACCAATTTTTTTCATAGAATGGCCAATGCCCACAAGAGATGCAACTCCATAGAATCCTTACAAGTAAGGGGCCTCACTATCACTGACCCAGAAGTCATCAAGGATAATGCTCAAACTTTCTACCAGAAAATGTCCAAAGAGACTGAGCACTGGAGACCTGATTTCAATCTCCAAGATGCACCAGCCATCTCCACAGAAGTTCAGACATGGCTGCAAAGGAATTTTGAAGAAGAGGAAATCCTAGAGACCATTAAGTCATGTGCTATTGAAAAGGCCCCTGGGCCTGATGGTTTCCCAATCAACTTCTACCTAACCTTTTGGGAGTTTGCAGTAGTTTTATGACCACCAAGTTTTTGAAAGAAGTCTTGAATGCTACTTATGTGTCCCTCATTCCGAAGAAAGCAGGAGCAGCAGAATTAAGAGATTTCAGACCAATCAATTTGATCTCTGGGGTGTACAAAATATTGGCCAAAGCATTAGCTGAGAGAATGAAAAAGATCATAGGGAATTTGGTCAACAGACATCAAATGGCATTCATCAAGGGAAGACAAATAATGGATGCAGCATTGATAGCAAACGAATGAGTAGACACAAGAACCAGAGGAGATGTGGCTGGTCTAATGTGCAAACTAGACATTGAAAAAGCTTTTGATCATGTCAACTGGAACTATCTCCTAAATCTCCTCAAACAAATGGGTTTTGGAAATAGATGGCTAAAGTGGATAAGTTTCTGCATTAAAACTGTTAGGTTCTCCATTTACATTTTTTTCCCTCCGAAAGGGCACTTAGACAAGGAGACCCCCTCTCCCCTTTTCTCTTTATCCTAGCCATGGAAGGACTCAGCAGTATGGTTAGAACAACTCTCCAATAGAATTGGATAAGGGGTTTCAAGCTTAATAGCCATGGTGTGGGTGATCTGGAGGTCAGTTGTCACCTGGTTTATGCAGATGACACTATAATTTTTTGTGAACCTATAGAAGAGCAGGTCTGGCATATCAGACTGATGTTAACTGTTTATGAAGCTGTATCTGGTTTGAAGGTAAACTGGAGGAAAATCAATTTATTTCCCATCAAAGAGGTAAACCACATGCAGACTCCGGCTGGCATCTTAGGTTGTGGGGTGGACAAACTCCCAACTGTTTACCTTGGCATGCCCCTTGGTAACAAACATGATGATCTGGAGATTTGGGATAACATCATAGAGAAAGAGAAAAAATTATCTCAATGGAAGGCTCAGTACATATCACTTGGAGGAAGAGTCACTCTTATAAACTCTGTCCTAGACTCCCTTCCCACCTACGTGATGTCATTGTTTCCTATCCCTTCCAGTGTATCTAAGAAATTATACAGGCTCAGAACGAATTTTCTATGGAAAAGAAACAAGAAGGGTGGGGATACAATTCAGTGAAGTGGAAGGAAACTCAATTGAGCAAAAACCAGGGAGGACTAGCCATCAGAAACCTAAACTTACAAAATCAGTGTCTTCTCATGAAGTGGTTATGGAGGTTTAGTGAGGAAGAAGCTTCACTCTGGAAACAGGTCATCTCTCACAAGTATGGTCAAGAAAGTCAATGGGTCACCAATGAGGTCAACAGTACTTATGGTGTTGGTGTGTGGAGAGCTATCAGATCAACATGGACAAAAATGCAAGGAAATATCAGAGTTGGAAATGGGCTCAGAACTCTCTTCTGGAAAGATCTCTCGATAGGTCAGTCCACTCTGCAGGAATCCTTCCCTGATTTAATGCTATTAAGCTACAATCCTGAAGCTACAGTGGGGGAATGTTGGTCTCCCCAAGGTTGGAACCTAACATTTAGAAGATACCTTAACGACTGGGAAGTGGAGAGGGTGGCAAACATGCTGAATGTACTAGGGGTCTTCACTGGCACAACTTCTAATCCAGATTCTTTAAGATGGAAATACACACAAGATGGCATCCTCTCGGTGAACAGACTTTACAAGAAGGAAAACAGCTGCTCAACACATGGGGAAGTCTCAAAGCTCTGGAAGTCCTTATGGAAGATTAAGGCCCCTACTAAAATCAAATGTTTCGCTTGGTTGGTGGTCAGAAGGGCTTGTCTCACTCAAGATGTTCTCCAAAAGAAGGGAAGGACACTTGTACCTAGATGTTTTTTGTGCAATGAAATTGGGGAAACAAATAACCATTTGTTCCTGCATTGCAAATTTACTGCTCAACTATGGCATCCATTCTTTACTCTCACTAAAGAAAAGTGAACAATGCCTGAGCACACAGCTGACCTGTTGAGCTGTTGGATCAGAAGAGGTGGCAGCAAAAGCCAGAAGAAGTGGTGGCGGATGATACCTTCCTACATTTGGTGGACAGTGTGGGAAGAAAGAAATGGGAGATGCTTTGAAGACAAAGTTAAGTCCATTCATGACGTAAAATGGAGCTGTCTAGTCACATTATTTTTTTGGTGTAAGGAGAACTGTATAGAGGAAATGGATGAATTTGTCGATTTCTTAGGAGCTTTGTAAATCTAGACTCTATTTTCTCTTCTTGTGAAAAGTTTCTGAAGGTGACCAGCGTCCCTTAATGCTGAGGAATACAACAGTACTTTTGTCCAAAAAAAAAAGATAAAGGAAGTCACAAATGGTATATTTCTACCTAGTTTATAACATCTTCTAACACTATTTGTACCAAGTCGGACCCCTTAGTAATAACTTGTTGAAATTGGAATGACCTTAGGTAGAAGGGTTTTAGACTACTTGCAAAGACAAAGAGTAGTTTAAAATATGTTGAATTTATCATAAGCTACACGAAGAATATAAAAATCTATCAAGGTAAAGAGAAACAACTTCTACACATGTTATGATGGCAAAATCCAATCTCATGGTGTTATTAAAAGTAATTGCTTCGCCGCTTAAAGTGATACAGAAATCCAAGCGACGAGTTATTGCTTCATGAGCAAAACCAAGCGTTTCGAATGATGATGAGCAAAATAATCCTAACCTTAAGCGGACAATTTTTGGCTCAACTATGAGGAGTTGGATTAATACCAACTTTATTATAGCATTAAATCATACATGTTTGGCATTTTTAGTTTTCCATAATTTGCGCTTTACTTCATTGTGTATCTCTTAAATTTTATGTTCTATTTAGGAT